ACAAGACTCTGACTTACCCACTCAAAACTTTGACACCTTAGATCGCGACAAGACTGAATCTAGTACAGATACACCAGAAAATAAAATCGAAATTCCTTTACGTCGATCAAAGCAAGCGCGTAAACCTCCCGACCACTTAACTTATGAGTAAGTCTTTTACTGATTTCCTTAAATCAAATAAGGTTATAAAGGAGATACTTAAAAATTGAAATAAATACTGCTAGAATATAATCCTTCCTTAATATTGATTGACTAACTGCCATTAAGTATTTCTAAAAGCAGGGGAGATTGTGGTGAGCATTCCTTCTACCCACCTCCTCCGCCTATCGTCAAAAATGGACTGTGCTTTTTATAAATAGTTTCGTTGTAGTAACTATTCTATTGTGTGGAATAAAGCCTAATTTGGGTTACTCTGTTCCGTGTCTTTCATTATACACTCATAAACACAAGTAAACGTAATAATAATAATCAACAACACATAATTAAGTAATCAATAATAAATAATGAGTGAAACAGTTAATAAATAACATTATAAAATAGCAACAAATAACTGCATTCGAATTCGAAACAGAACTGTTACATCCAGCCAATAGCCGTTATGATAATAGAATAGACATTCTACCCAGAATGCACCACTGGCCAACGTTTATAAATTGTCGAGTCAAAACCCAACACACATGGCCTGAAGACTAAATTTATGCATGCATCAGACCGACGCTGACAGTTTTTGACCTCAATGTCCATTTCATATATATATATATATATATATATATATATATATATATATATATATATGAAGAAATATAGTTTTAAGGTGTGCTATATTTATGGGATAAAGCGCTCAATATCAGAGACAGACCATATGTAAAATTGCACATTGAAGTCGGCATTAGAGGCGACAGGCTGTTTCATTAGACGCAATCATCAGGTGTGACGATTGCGTCAGCATGAATCAGCCTGTCGCCTCCAATGTCGTCTAATGTGCACTGATATATATATATATATATATATATATATATATATATATATATATATATATATATATATATATATATATATAAAAACTTTTACTAATCTACTTTTTGTATGAATGATTCATTGTAATATAAATTGAACTGCACCACATATTTGATTTAAAAGAATTGATCTGACATGCAAATTTTTGGGATAACAACTGAGACATTACTCTATTTATTGAACTATTTAATTCATGTCCATTGACTGATAAACTCCTACAAAAAATTCTCAAATTGCCATATTAGTAAAAAAAAATGCATTCATTTAAATTTTCAAAAAAATTCAACCATAGCTTTGCGACTGCACAATCCAAATGTTTGTGTCCGTTATCAATAACACCTTTAAATAAAAAAAATATTTCAATTCATATATTTTTTCGTCTCGGGTGCTACCTGAATTTTACCAAAAACAAAATATTTTCCATGCCTGAAGATGACTGAATGTACAGTCGAAATTACTATTTAAGAAATACCTTACACAGCTTATAATTTTAAAAACAAGGATCATAACATTCATCGAGTGATTGAAGTGAGTGATTCATCTTTAAAATTTTGTTAGCGAAGGGATTTCGCCATTTTATATCATTAACTTTTACTAATTTACTTTTTGTATGAATGATTCGTTATAATATATATATATATATATATATATATATATATATATATATATATATATATATATATAAGTGGCCTGACGATTGCGTCTAGCATGAAAACAGCCTGTCGCCTCTGTGTGTTGACTTCAGTGTTCACTTCCATATTTACATACGCTCTATCTCTGATTTTTAGCAATTTATCCCATAAATATAGCACACTTGAAGACTATAGTTCTTCAGGGGGGGGAGGAAGTAACCGGAATCTTTTTCTGGGTGACAAGCTCGTAGTAGTTCAGGCTTCCACCGCTAGATGCCACTTGAGGCAACCCTCAGGTAACAGTGTGCTAACTGGTGTCATCGTAGGAAGACATACAGCTCCGTGGTTCACATTTGTTTTCAAGTGCTTCACGTCTTTTCGTCTATTTTTACCATGGCTGAAAAGATGACTGTTGTAAAACGAAAGAACAGTTGGAAGTTGACCCTGACCTTTTTTCGAAGGTCATCACTTGTGACGAAAACTGGTGCTATGGCTACGACCCGGAAATGAAGCAGCAATGAAGTCAGTGGAAGCATCCAACGTCACCACGACCCCCCAAAAAGCGCGTCAAGTGAAATCCAATGTCAAGACGATGCTGATTTGTTTCTTTGATGTGAAAGGAATTCTCCACAAAGAATTTGTTCCTCCTGGTCAAACTGTTAACCAGGCTTTTTACTTGGAAGTCCTGAAAGGTTTGCGAAACAAGGTGAGACGAAAACGCCCTGACCTGTGGCAAAGTGGAAGGTGGTGGTTGCATCACGACAATGCGCCAACGCACACCGCCTTGAGTGTGAGACAGTTTCTGAACAAGAATGGCATGACCACACTTCCCCACCCTACCTATTCACCCGATCTCACCCCCTGCGACTTTTCTTTGTTCCCCCGAATGAAGAAAGTCCTCAAAGGTAAAAGTTTTGCAGATGCGGAAGAGGTTAAAAAGAAAACGATGGTGTCATTAAAAAGCATAACTTCGCAAGATTTCCAGGACTGCTTTGAACAATTGAAAACACGTCTGGACTGGTGCATTGCTTCAAATGGAGAAAACTTTGAAGGTGATAAAAATATCAACATGCAACAATAAATGAATAAAATTATATGACACAATTCCGTTACTTTTGGGACCCCTCGTATATATATATATATATCTATCTATCTATCTATCTATATATATATATATATATATATATATATATAATAAAAGAAATCAGAGACTTCAGAAAGCCTTGGTAATATTTTATTTCGCAAAATCGAAACTTCGATTTCGCTTCATAGGACAGACGGCTTCCAGGAACCAAATGAAAATTAAAAATTGTTTTGTTAGGAACCAAAAGAATTTTTAACAGTCATGTTTTGTTAGGTCTGTTTTATGAAGCGAAATTTTCAGATTTTTGAAATAAAATATTCTTTTGAAGTATCTGATTTATATATATATATATATATATATATATATATATATGTGTGTGTGTGTGTGTGTGTGTTTGTGTGTGTGTGTGTGTGTGTGTGTATACTAGCAGCATGGGCCGGCGTTGCCCGTGCTTGATTCAAAAATCGTACGACTCATACAGCAATCTTTATCACTTGACTTAAAATATTTTTGCCCTTCCTTGCCTTTAAAGGAGTGCCCTATGCCGTGCTGATGTTGCTACATGCCTTACTTCTTGCTTATCTCACACTGCGAATTTTTTCTAAGCTCTATACTAAACATTAAATCTGTTACGAAAAAAGAACTAAATAAAATGAACACAAAACGATCAGCTTTAAAAAAGGACTCGTAACTGGAAAAACCAAATGAAAAAAGAATGTTAACAACAAAATACTTTTTCACATCCAACCCAGTTCTGCGGAATCAGAATCAACGTTGAGTTTAAGCAAGCGAATGGGCCAATTAGAGTAAAGTGCCATGTAGATTTAAATTTTTCCTACTTGTGACGTATGCAGCTATCGATTTTTTTATGCTAGTTAACATTCGTGTCAGTCAGCTCTCACGCTGGCCAATAGAATCTTTCTGACTATTCGTGGCAGCCAGCTATATGCTCTCACTCTGGCCAGTAGAAAATGGCCACAAACTACATGAAAACTGCCGTAGAAGCATGAAAAAATCGATTATTTCGACTATCGATGGGAGTTGAGAAATGCAAAGTCGGTCTTGGCCTTTCCGCTAACTTGGAGCATGTGCACGTAAATTTTGGTGCAAATCCGTCGAAAATTGCGGCCGTGCATTCGTTACACACACACACACATCCTGCCTTATATATATATATATATATATATATATATATATATATATATATATATATATATATATGTATGTATTGATAAGGAACAAATAGTAAACGTTCATAGATTTAATATATTTCGCTTTTATTTAAGCTTCATTAAAAAATGATATATAGAGGAGAAAAGAAAATACTGGTATTTTTATTTTTGTGTTGTTTGTTTTTCATTACTACAGCAGATCTCACGTGTATCTGTCCTGTCAAGCAGCGTCCGTGTGTATAATTCACGTGTGCTTGAGTATCATAATACTAGTGTGTCTGTGCAGCATTCGGATGATAATGTGTATTCGTTTGTGGGCATTTGAGCGTCTAGAATATATTTTCATCTATATTTGGGGATTGTCCACATATAATTAATTTTTTAGAGTTCGCCCCATTTAAACACATCATAGCTAAAACCTTTATTTACCTCAGATACGTATATGATGTCCTTCTAATACACACACACAATGAAAATCTACTCGGCATCATAAAGAAACATAACAACAGAAGCTACCATCGAATTTACAGCTGAACATGAAATAGAAAAATCTCTACTTTTCCTAGACATTCTATTAATACGTAACAATTACAAATTAGATTTTAAAATTTACCACAAAGCAACAAAAGAAATGATTTAATCATTTTCTATTCCCACCACAACCCAAAAATAAAATCAGGCCTAATCATGTTTTACATAAGGGCTCTTAAAATATGTAGCCCAAAATGGATATTTTGATGTGCGCGTCCACATAGATAGATAGATAGATAGATAGATAGATAGATAGATACTATTTTTTATTTTTCTATTTCTTTTTTTTATTTCTTTATGCTTTTCTTTTTTTCTTTCTATTAGCTTTTGTTTGTTTATTTCTTTCTTTTTCTTTATTTATTTCTTTCTATTTCTTTTTCGATCTTTCTTTTCTTTTCAGAGATAGATAGATAGTATTTTTATTTTTCTATTTCGTTTTTTGTTTTTTTTATTTCTTTATGCTTTTCATTCTTTCTTTTTTCTTTCTTTCTATTAGCTTTTGTTTGTTTATTTCTTTTTCTTTATTTCTTTCTTTCTATTTCCTTTTCGATCTTTCTTTTCTTTTCAGAGATAGATAGATAGATAGATAGATATTGGGCAGACATAGATAGATAGATAGATAGATAGATAGATAGATAGATAGATAGATATGAAAAGACTCTCCTTTTTAAGTTCCTTCCACTAGGATAGAAAGAAAACAAGAAGTTGTGTCCATAATAATCCACGTTATATAAGCGAGAGGCTGCGATATCTGTTATCGATAACAAATGATGTCGGTCGCTGATATTAAAATAATGAAACCATGCTACTTCAGCCGAATGAATTTTCGGTTCTTTTGACAGATTTTGACATTCATTTGGACACCAGTGAGATTTTGAAAGATTTTAGATTATTTTGCTTGTATATAATTTAATGCTTTCGAAGACTTTAAAAAAAAAAAAAGAAAAAAAAACATAGTCTAAATAACAGCTCATAACTGTCAAAAATATTCTATACGATATAAAGGAGTAATATCGAAAAATAAATATATAGCTACTAGCGTAAACTTGACCTCCATTGGTCAAACTCGCTAATCCGGCTATAGTTTGTCTGTTTCCACCACAACTGCTAAAGTGCTGGCAACTCGCATATTCTTATTTTTCTAATCCCAAGATGGCGTACGAGAAGACGACCCAATTGCCGCGTCTCTAAATTCAAGGAGAGTAAACCAATCCGACTCTGGTATGATAGCTGCTTGGCAACGAGTTACACAATAAACAAAAGCCTCATTAGTTGCCTGGCAACCGAGTCGAGGAGGGGAGCGGTTAGTGGAGGAAAAGGAGATGGGTCTGTGGTAGGTTAGGAGGCTTATGGGTGTGTCAGTGAATAGATACTGACTGTCGATGCTACAGCCACCTGATGCCTTACCAAATGAACGAAAGAACTGGCCTGATGCCAAGCAGTTCTATAATGTTACATCCTTTATTCTTTGAGTAGAGATGATAGACACTTTGTACTTGTTGAAGACAAGAAGGCTGATTTTATATATATATATATATATATATATATATATATATATATATATATCGGTGTATATGTGAATATATATGTGTGCGTATGTGAATTCCTCTTCACATATATTTGTGTTTTGGATTATATTAGAATCACTTAACCTCTTTGCATATGTATAAGAGATAAAAACGGGTGAGAGGAAGAGAGGCATGTCGGGAAAAATAAAAAAAATGCGCGTGTTTGTGTGCAGAGTGCATGAGAGAGGTGCCTGTATGCGTGTGTCTGGTTGAGGAAAAGAAGGAAATGTGAATATAGATAAACAAGATTTGGTGGAGCGAACAGTGTTATTGCGCCAATTTTTTTTTTTGTGTTAGAAAGAAAGAAAGAAAAGGAAAAAGAAATAAACAAACAAACAAAAAACGAAACAAATTAGATAAAAATACAAAGAAAAAGAAAGGAAAAAGAGAGAAAAGGAAATATAAAGAAATAAACAAAGCAAAGGAAAAAGAAAGAAACACAAATAAATAAATAAATAAATAAACAAAAGGTAAATAAGAAAGGAAAGGAAATAGAAAGAAAGAAAGACAGAAAGAAGGAAAGAAAGAGAGAAAGGAAAAGTGTAAAAGGACATAGAAAGAAAGAAAGTAAGAAAAAGAGATAAACAAACAAAAAACGAAATAGAAAGCAACAAGAGGAAATAGAAAGAAAGAAAGAAAGAAAGAAAGAAAGAAAAAAAACAAAAAACGAAATAGAAACAAACAAGACGAAATAGAAAGAAAGGAAAAAAAAGAAGGAAAAGGAAACAGGAAGAAAGAAACAAAAATGTAAAAAAGAAAGAAATACGAAGAAATAAACAAACAAAAGAAAGAAAGAAAATGAAATATAAAGAAATAAATAAAGAAAAGGCAAAAGAAAAAGAAAGAAAGAAAGAACAAAAAAGAATGAAAAGGAAATAGAAAGAAAGAAAAAAAAAAGAAAGAAAGAAAGAAAGAAAGAACAAAAAAGAATGAAAAGGAAATAGAAAGAAAGAAAGAAAAAGAAAGAAAGAAAGAAAAAGAAAGAAAAAAGAAAGAAAAACAAAAAAGAATGAAAAGGAAATAGAAAAAGAAAGAAAAGAAAGAAAGAAAAGAAAAGAAAGAAAGAACAAAAAAGAATGAAAAGGAAATAGAAAGAAAGAAAGAAAAAAGAAAGAAAGAAAAAAGAAAGAAAGAAAGAAAGAAAGAACAAAAAAGAATGAAAAGGAAATAGAAAGAAAGAAAGAAAAAAGAAAGAAAGAAAGAACAAAAAAGAATGAAAAGGAAATAGAAAGAAAGAAAGAAAAAAGAAAGAAAGAAAGAAAGAAAGAAAGAAAGAAAGAAATAAAAAAGAAAAAAAGGAAATAGAAAAGAAAAAGAAAGAAAAAAAGAAAGAAAGAAAGAAAAACAAAAAAGAATGAAAAAAGGAAGAAAGAAAGAAAGAAAGAAAGAAAGAACAAAAAAGAATGAAAAGGAAATAGAAAGAAAGAAATAAAGAAAAGGAAAAAGAAAGAGAAAGAAAGAAAGAACAAAAAAGAATGAAAAGGAAATAGAAAGAAAGAAAGAAAGAAAGAAAGAAAGAAAGAACAAAAAAGAATGAAAAGGAAATAGAAAGAAAGAAATAAAGAAAAGGAAAAAGAAAGAGAAAGAAAGAACAAAAAAGAATGAAAAGGAAATAGAAAGAAAGAAATAAAGAAAAGGAAAAAGAAATAAACAAAAGCTAATAGAAAGAAAGAAAGAAAGAAAGAAAGAAAGAAAGAAAGAAAGAAAAAAAAAAACAACAAACAAAAGGAAATAGAAACAAGCTAACAAAAACGAAAAAGAAATAAAAAAAAAAAGAAAAGGAAAAAGAAAGAAACAAAAGGAAATAAGAATAAAGAAATAAATGGGAATAGAAATACATCTTTATCGTCACATAGCAATTTTCTACGATGAAATAACAAAATATCAACTTTGACGGTGGATGGATTTGTTTCATGTCTGTATAACCACTCTGGGGATGGCTAGTGCTTGGGACCAACTTAATAAAAAAATTATCCAAATATTGGACAATTTTTGTCTTTATTTCCACCGGAAATTAAAGCAAACATATGAACATTAGAACGGTTCATGATCAGACTTAATAGACATCCATTGTCTGTTATATTTCAGAATATATGTTTAAATATATATATATAAATATATATAATTTCATATGGTTAAATAAATTATATCTATAAAAAAAACGGATAAACAGAAAATATATTAAATAACTGTCGGACTTAATTCGTTTCATAGTATGTTTTCATTGTTTACGTTAAGTCACGTTTCGTGAGCACAAATGATCGATCGAGAAAAATCATCGAAAGTGCGTCTTTTTAAAGAGTAATTCGGATTTTCCTAACCAGACGCTTCTTTGTGGCTGAATGGTAACAGCACGTCAATCTATATGACGGTTCTAATAAGGATTACAGGTTCGATTCCTGTCGGAGAGCGCATATTTTCTACGATATTTCTCGAACCAGCAAATGTAATTAATACTGTTTAATTAAAAAAAAACTGAGCATTTACTTAAATAAATTATATCTATAAAAATAACGTATAAACAGAAAAAATATTAAAATAATTGTGGGACTTAATCCATTTCATAATATATATATATATATATATATATATATATATATATATATATATATATATATATATATATACCCAAGTATATGATTGGGCTATACGGAATAAATTCCAATAACCAACAAGTACTATTCTTAAAAGAGTGCTCAATACAAAGTAGAGTAAATATAATTATTTATTTAAATAATAATATAATTTTATGTTATAATATTTTATATAATATTTTATGTTATAATTTTTAAATAAATAATTATATATATATATATATATATATATATATATATATATATATATATATATATATATTTATATAGACATAGAATCGCTTCAAGCCGGAACAGAAACACGACCGATTTGGCATCAGTTGAGGATTCATTCTAACCCCTAGGCTATCAGCGCCCGGCCGGCAGAGAGAAAGGTGAATTTTTGCGTATTTTTCCTTTTTTTTTTTTATCAACACGACAGTGACCTACAGAACTCAATTCGGCTGAAGAGTTTTGCATTATATATATATATATAAGACCTATATGGAGCAAGAGTAAGGATTGTGAGATGAGATCACTGTTAGATTGGCTGACCTTTTAGTTCTTGCTCTTGCTTCATGAAAATGATTCAGACAAGCACATTGAAAACTGCTGCGTCCACTAAAACATGTTGATCTCCATTCTACCCGCTCCAAGGCTAAGGGCTCAAGGGTGTTATGTGATATATTGACAGCTGACATATATATATATATATATATATATATATATATATATATATATATAAATATGAATGACGGTCGCATACCAACAGATATAATATGCTGTGAGTTGTTCTCGGCGCACCGACCAACAGGCCGACCTGCATTACGACTCAAGGACGTCTGCGAGATGGACCTGAAGCTCACGGGCATCGAACAGACAACCGCATCGGCTGGGGCCTTGATGTTCAATGAGGATTCATGGCGGCCGAGAAAGAGCAAAACCAACTGTTGGAGATCAGAAGACAATGCAGGAAGCATAGAGCTATTTATTCCGGCTTCAAGCTTCGTCTGCCACACCTGTAGAAGAGAAAGTCATGTAAAGATTAGACGGTTAAACCACCGCAGCCGCTACTCACAAAAGGACTGCATTTTGACCAAACTGGATGCTACTATTATCACGCGATTAGACCACGAGAGTCCGTCATAACTGAGACTTGCTTTATTATGAAGGTCTTCTGTGACATAATTGGTAACGGCACACTACGGTTGTAGGAACGGTTTCATTGATGGAAAAAACTGGAATACATATTCTATTCTTGTCGGGAGATACATTTTTTTTTTTGCATGCCTCCTTGATATATTCCGTTTGATAATAATCTATTAAAAAAAAAAAAGAAGAATTTCAAAATATATATATATATATATATATATATATATATATAATTTAAAAATATGATTCCTTCGCTTCATAAGAGTTCTCATGTTTCAAAAACGAGAGACGAAACCATCCAAATAATTATTAAAATTAAGTTGAATTGAGGTGTTTAGTCTCGTTTCATCTTCAAGCGAAATTTTAGGCTATCTCTCGATTTACTTGTGCTTTTAGGCATGGTCCGTTACAAAATTATTATTATAATAAAGCTCTGCTTCTGTATGGAGCACTGTCTTCTTAAAAATAAAAACAAAAATACTAAGGAACCCCGGATTATGCACCCAACGTGTTCTTTTCTATTTTCTGCATACCTGCGCATTTATATATATATATATATATATATATATATATATATATATAAGTCCACTAAATAAAATATGCAAACAGAAAAATAGTGCCTACTTGCTGCTTGTATGCGTCGTCAATGGAAATGGATATAGCAGCTATATTTCTACTTATCGTCAGCTTCTCAAGTTAGCAGCAGAAGGAACATGGGACACAGAGAGGTAACATGACAAACATCCGGTGTCTAAGTTTGTTAACCACGCCTTGTGTCTTAACCAATTCTTGCTTTATCTTAGGGATAAATGGGAGATACGTGTTTTTAGACAACATATTTGCTTTGTGTTCCAATCAGGGCTTGCACAACGAGAGCGTATATCATTTGATGCCTCGTTCTGTTATAGATGCACTTGAATATCTGAGAAGATGACAGCTGAAGGCGTACAACAAAGGTGTTCGATCCGGAGAATGCCAACAAATCTAGCAAACATTCAGTGCCACGTGACGCTACTTAACGCTGAGAAATATTTTCAAAGGAATTTATTCTGATTGCTTAACGTAACTCATCTGTAAATGTTGTAGCCGAAAAAAAAAAAAAAAAAGCTGCTTTTATGACCAGAAGACTATCAAATACAGAATAACCCATACCTATATGTTTCATTTTCTCCTGTTTTTCATCTTCAGAACGTTGGCGATCACAACTCTCCCCAACTTCCAGTCCTTTGTATCTCTTAATAAATTTCGTCTTTTTGTTATCTCTCCTAAAATTTGTCCCGCTATTTTCTCGGACTCGTTAAGTATGTCATGCGTTTTTTTCCTCTGTCCCTCTTGCCTTCAATTTGCCCTGTGAGTATCAAATTTTCCAATCCTTCTTTCCTCATTATGTGTCCAAGAAATTTCAATTGTCCCTTTCTGATGTTAAGTATAATTGTTCCCTTTTGTTTCCATTTGCTCTAAAACTTCGTTGTCACTTGCATGTTCGGTTCATAGTATTCCCATCATCCTTCTGTAGAACCAGATATTGCACAAAAGTATTTGATAAGATACGACACAAAGAGCTACTTGAAATACTAGAAAAGCTTGATTTTCCATTGAATGATAGTAGAGTAATCTGTACCCTTTAATGGGAACGAGAAGCCTGCAGGCGGGGAGAGAATGGGTTCAGTGAATACGCTAATATAGAAAGAGGAGTAAGGACAATAATGCCTTTTCTCACCAGTTCTGTTCAACTTATACAGTAAGACGATTGTAAGAAAAACTATTTGCACTACTAGGATTGGCGGATATAAAATTAACAACAGAAAGAAAAAGAAAATAAATCTTAAATAACGGAAATCAAGAAGAAAAGACTATCAGTTGTTCGGAAACAATGCTGTTTCAGAAAAATGAATAGCCAGGGTGTGAGATTTTTATTGGGGATGTCAAAATCAAGCAGGTAGAAAAAAGACAAATATTTCGGTAGTTGAGACGACAGTAAATATGACACAGAAATCCAAAGCAATTGCGAAATAGGAACAGGAAAAACAGTATCTCTTCCAGAAACTGAGCAAATTACTACGAAATTGTCGTTGACAATTCTTCAGCTGCTACCCATGACATCATTCGCACATTCGATTAAGGAAAGTGAACCTTAGAGAATTTAACACGCACAGAGCATATCGAAGGCAAGAAAAGCAGAGACAACAATGAGTATCGTACTTTGTAATTTGTGTATATGGATGACAGAACAAAGACAAAGAGACAGAAATTAATTTTTTAGCAATAAAAGACAGGAAGTTGTGGAGAGCAATGATCGCCTACGTTCTGAAGAGATACGTTACATAAAAATATTCATATACATTAATGTATTAATTCATCATATATATATATATATATATATATATATATATATATATATATATATATATCCTCAGATAAACTTTTAATATATGAATTATTTTTCGATATATAATTCGATACTGAATCGTTGATCTAAGATATATATATATATATATATATATATATATATATATATATATATATATATATATATATATGAAAATTTCTCCGATATAACCAGTATAGAAGACAATATTTATGAATAAAAATGACAACAGGAAAACTGGTAATTACTGACGCGTTTCATCCGATGTGGACTGACATTTATTCGTACAAAAAGTACAATAAAAACAGAATGTACCTAGCAACTGGAATGTAGAGAAACGCTATTTTCATATTTTTAACTGAAAATAACGTCAGTAATTGTCAAAAGAGACCTCACAAAAATCAACATAGCTAATGCACTAGTCATACATAGAAATAAATTCAACCATAATTTTGATTTTAAAAATGATACACTCATAAAAAAAGAAAATGACTCACTCAGAAAGAAAATTCTTGAGAGTGCCGCCATAGAAAATTACCCAAATATTAATCTAAGCCCAGGTTTTTTCCCCATTTCACCTTTCTTAACAAAATTACTGCTCTTACAAACAAATTTACACAACATATTCATAAAATCAAAAGAAAATGGTTGAATAAATCAACACAGATATAATGACAATATTCTCCACACGTGACAATTATTGACGTTATTTTCAGTTAAAAATATGAAAATAGCGTTTCTCTACATTCCAGTTGCTAGGTACATTCTGTTTTTATTTTTATTAGTTAATTTGTTCATTTAATTTCATTTTCGTATTTTGCTTTGATAAAGTCCACATTGGACAAAAACACGTCAGCAATTACCAGTTTTCCTATTGTCATTTTTTCATTATATATATATATATATATATATATATATATATATGATTTCTTTTTCTTTTTGTAGGTCTGGTGAATTAGATCGTGATTACGATTCCAATGTAAAAAAATTATAACCATGGAATATTAGTGTTTTGCAATATATATATATATATATATATATATATATATATATATATATATACGCACGTAGCCAAGTGGTTAGAATGTTCGCATTCTGATTCTGATCGTGACCAAGCAGGTTCGAATGTTATCATGTTCAATTTATCAGGAATGTTAGCGAACTGGAGGTGTCGATCCCAGCGTGCGGCACTTTTAGAAAGTGCCTGTAAAGCACATAACAGATTGACCTAAGCATTGTGAGTGAAATTCCGTAGACAGAACATTTGATAGCTGTAACCGAGGGATTGAGCATGCTGGTCTTGTCCAAGTTGTTGATCACGCTAGATTGGTTGTCTCTGTGGGTCTTGAACAAACATAAATATGCCTGAGCAAGGGTCTGCAACAGGGATTGGCTAGTAGACAGGTATCTTCTATATATATATATATATATATATATATATATATATATATATATATTGTTAAATATATATATATTGTTAAATCTAACAAACATAATTAGACATTCATTGTCTGTTACATTTAACAATATATGTTTAAATACCTAATACATTATATATATATATATATATATATATATATATATATATATATATATTGTTAAATATAACAGACATTATTAGACATAATTAGTTATATTTCATTATATGTTTAAATAACAATATATATATATAAATATATATATATATATATATATATATATATATATATATATATATATATATCCTGGAGAGGGATGAGCTCCGGCAGGTTAAAACGGCCAAGGCACGCCACATGAGGAGCACACAAAGAAACAGCCTTATATCGGATCGTTCGCAGTCCTGGTTACCATACACGACCGCTAAAGATGTAGGAGACTGGTGGACAGCTTAGCACGTCGTCACCCCAAGGACTATTTCCGAGGTTACGGGCGAAATATATATATATATGCTTTGGTGATCCTGGTAGAGTGGGAGAGTGTTGTCATGCATGAATACTAGTGTCCTTATAAGTGACTGCGGTATGTCATCTAGTCATGACTTCAGGCACCATGATACCAATCACAATATGACTCTTCCACCCTGTTTTTGACGTTGTAAATTTTAGTGACGCTTATTTCCTAAATAAACCCACCCATTTTCCTAAACTTCAGGGCCGTCAAGGCTCGCCCTGATCTCGTCAGTGAACAGAACACAACTCATATCCAACTTCATGTTTTTCCGAGCCTATTGAAGCCTCAACTTCCTGTGACGTGTCCTTAAATGAGGCAGTTTCACGTGATCTCGCACGGAAGCCATGGTCCCGAGGATGGGATTTCTGGTGGTTTCCGGTACATGAGGAAGTCCAGCGGGCGTGAAAATGACTTTGATTATTTGCCCGGGTTTCCCACATGACTTTCGGATAATATTCCTTAAATCCGTAGCTGTCATAGTCTTGGAGGTCCCACAATCGGATCGTTTCTTCCATGGCGAAGGAACCCTCAGAAATCGTCAAACCGTGTTTACGCAATAACATGAAGAGAGGTGCCTTTAGCACTGTCCTTCATGACTGACATTTCTTCATCATTGAGGCCTTTTCCACGTCTTATTATTCTTAGAGATGAGAGACGCTATTAGCCTGGTTCACCCAAAATTGTCGAATCTGAATTAAAAAAAAAATAAAGGACGTTACACAGAATAATGAAAACCTAAAAATGGTGCTGCCATATTGGGTAAAGCAGCTGGGGAAATTAAAAAAAAAACGAGAAATCCTAATATATAATCAGTTAAGCATAACAATGTTGTAGCCATATTGTGCAAACAAACTGAGAAAAGTTTGATCAAAAACAATTCACAGAAAACCGAGAAATCCTAAATTTCACTACCAAACTATTAGCGCGGTTCGAGGTTGTTTTTTCTTTCTTTTTTTAAGCAAGGCGGAAAGCCACTAGGACGCAAGGGGTTACAGAAGATTTGGAGCAAGATCAGATAGGAGTGATAGAGGAAAGGATGAGGAGAAGGATAGTGGATAGATCAAGGCAACTGGAGATGTTGATTGACATTACATTTGAATAGTTGGAGATTATAGCTCTCAGGGAAACTGGAATAGGGAAGGGAGTTCCACAGGCGAGAGGTGCGAGACATGAAGGTATTAGAGTAGAAGAGACGGCTACATTTAGGAGTTTCGAAAGGGTGAGAACGGTATGCCAGCCTCGTAGGGCGCTTGAATTCATGAAGTCTGGGAACCAGCGAATGCAGCTCCTCGGAACAATTACCATGACAGTATTTGTAAAAAAGACAGAGAGAGGCGACGGCGCGTCTGTGAGAGAGTGACTGTAGAGAAGATGCCAGAACAGGGCCAATTATATTGCATATCTGCCTCTAGATCTTATCAAGAACCCCGAGGCAAACAGAAGGTGC